ATCTTATCCCAAATTATATTTTTAACCATTGTTGAAATGAACTAAATCTTATCCCAAATTATATTTTTAACCATTGTTGAAATGAACTAAATCTTATCCCAAATTATATTTTTAACCATTGTTGAAATGAACTAAATCTTATCCCAAATTATATTTTTAACCATTGTTGAAATGAACTAAATCTTATCCCAAATTATATTTTTAACCATTGTTGAAATGAACTAAATCTTATCCCAAATTATATTTTTAACCATTGTTGAAATGAACTAAATCTTATCCCAAATTATATTTTTAATCATTGTTCAAATGAACTAAATCATAACCCAAATTACAAAGACTGAGCTTGGGAAGCTTTTGCTTAATGAATTAATTATATTTAAAATATATTTAAAACATATATATTGTGCACTTAAAACTTGAAAGATAACATTGAGGAAACATCAGAAAATATTTAAATTTAATGACCATATCACAACAAAATCAGGAAAACCTTTTATTTTTACATAGCAAGTTTCAAGACGCAAGTCATAATGATATCAGAAAATGTATTTATTTCTCTATTTAAGATTTTTTTTCTTATTCAATTTGAAGCAAAAAGGCAAAGATAGTATTCACATTATCATCATTTAAATTTTCTAATCAAATAGATTAATGGTACTTGAGCCCACATTCAACTGCACATTCTAATCCCATTTATATCAAAATGACCAGAGAAAAATATATTTGCACAATGTAACCAGGGGCTACTGACATGGAAGAGTTAGTGTTAAAAGAATGGTTCAAATGTCCAGAGTTGGAAATAATTTCTAAAATAAGATGTCAGGTAATGAAAGTGAAAGAAGTGTAAATATAATTTAAAAACAACAATGAACAGAAAAGAGCATGGTCAAAGATGTGAAGGAAAGAGTGCTGCCTTAAACTTGGAATATGAATAGGATATTTTTCATAGAGAACTTTTGCCATGAGTTTCTTACGTAGATGGCCATCTCACCTGCCAACCTAATCAAGGGCCCTAAATGTCCTGGAAATAAACATTTCCACACACATTTGTTATAACCAGCACTTTCACGATTTAAAACTAAAAGAACTCTATGCCAGGTTACTCAGTGTGAAAGAGAAAATATCAAACAAAATGAAATTAAATTTACATATATTCTGGGCATTTTGAGTATAGATATTTTAGATATATGATTTATCTTTATTTTTTTTCATTCAAATGTATACCGTATCAACGATTAAATGTTAATAATAAAATGTCAGAAGTAAAACTCTAAATGCAAGGCCCAGCTGCGACTGGTGTAGCAAGCCACCAAGGCGACACTAACTGCTGTGACTGGTGTAGCAAGTCACCAAGGAGAAACAAACAGCTGTGACTGGTGTAGCAAGCCACCAAGGAGAAACAAACTGCTGTGACTGGTGTAGCAAGCCACCAAGGAGAAACAAACTGCTGTGACTGGTGTAGCAAGCCACCAAGGAGAAACAAACTGCTGTGACTGGTGTAGCAAGCCACCAAGGGGACACTAACTGCTGTGATAGGTGTAGCAAGCCACCAAGGGGACACTAACTGCTGTGACTGGTGTAGCAAGCCACCAAGGAGAAACAAACTGCTGTGACTGGTGTAACAAGCCACCAAGGAGAAACAAACTGCTGTGACTGGTGTAACAAGCCAACAAGGGGACACTAACTGCTGTGACAGGTGTAACAAGCCACCAAGGGGACACTAACTGCGTGACAGGTGTAGCAAGCCACCAAGGGGACACAAACTGCTGTGACAGGTGTAGCAAGCCACCAAGGGGACACAAACTGCGGTGACAGGTGTAACAAGCCACCAAGGGGACTCTAACTGCTGTGACAGGTGTAGCAAGCCACCAAGGGGACACAAACTGCTGTGACAGGTGTAGCAAGCCACCAAGGGGACACAAACTGCTGTGACAGGTGTAACAAGCCACCAAGGGGACTCTAACTGCTGTGACTGGTGTAGCAAGCCACCAAGGGGACACTAACTGCTGTGACAGGTGTAGCAAGCCACCAAGGGGACACAAACTGCTGTGACAGGTGTAACAAGCCACCAAGGGGACTCTAACTGCTGTGACAGGTGTAGCAAGCCACCAAGGGGACACAAACTGCTGTGACAGGTGTAGCAAGCCACCAAGGGGACACAAACTGCTGTGACAGGTGTAACAAGCCACCAAGGGGACTCTAACTGCTGTGACTGGTGTAGCAAGCCACCAAGGGGACACTAACTGCTGTGACAGGTGTAGCAAGCCACCAAGGGGACACAAACTGCTGTGACAGGTGTAGCAAGCCACCAAGGGGACTCTAACTGCTGTGACAGGTGTAGCAAGCCACCAAGGGGACACAAACTGCTGTGACAGGTGTAGCAAGCCACCGAGGGGACATAAATTGCTGTGACAGGTGTAGCAAGCCACCAGGGGATACAAACTGCTGTTCTCACAAATTGAACAGGAGAAAACAGATGAATCGCCAACTGTGCGCTGGACTGCCAACTATACCTTTTGCGATGCTTCCCCAGAAGAAATAGGCAGAGCAAGAATAAAATTTCAAACCCACCTTGTCATCTGATCCTCTGAGACCAGTGGTTCCCAAATAGTTTTTGATTCCCTGTGCTCTTGCTGACTCCAGGTTTTACCAAGGCCCCTGGGATCAAATTCTAACAAGTACACGTACAACTTATAATTTTTTTAAAGTGAAATGGTTAGATAAGAGTCTTCTGCACTTATTATGTGGTGAGTTAATGGTTTGCACAAGGTGCATCGAGTGTTGTATAAATTCTATAATAAAATGATGGAAATGGGGATTTCTGTAAGACAATTAATATTTTAAAATGTGACTTAATTTTTGGAATTTATTCTAACAAGTCATGACAAATTGCAATGAAGCATTGCATGGGAAATGGTTTCATTAAATTTCCATTCTCAGTACCTGAGGCATAATGATAAAGGATGAGTTGCCATCGTTGTTATTTGGTACCATCAAAAGATGGCGTGGCATAGCACTTGTTCGGTAGTTTTTAATCAATACATTTGTTAAAGCTTAGTTGTTCTCATTTGGTTGCAGCTCAATGTTCACTTCATGTGGTTTATTAATAATAAAAAATGTGACATGACTAAAGAGTTTATTTTAAGTCGGCAAAATATGAAAACGTTTATAACTTTTAAACTTAGAAAATACATGCTAATTTATTTATTCAATTAAATAAGTTTAAGAATATTTTTTTATGAAAACTGAAATTTATTACTTGAAACAATATAATTATTTTAATGTCATTAAACAAATGACCTCTCTAAATTTGATCATACAAACTGATCATGTACTTATGCCTCATTTAACAACAAAGCTGATTAATTTGGTTTTAAATATTTTCTTAATCCAGGATTTCTTCAACTAAAACAATCAATGACTGAAAAAAACATTTCATATAA